GAGAGAGAGAGAGAGAGAGATCATTCAAATCCAAGGCCTATGAGAGAGATCTGGTTATCCAAAACAGGTCTGTGATGGTTATAATGCTATTCTGCATGCCCTCTGGCGTGGCAATAGATGAGAACGTGTCAAACGTTCGGCATAAAAAATAAAATAAAGTGAGAACTGTGGGGATGTAAATGCATTTTATTATCCAAATAACTCATATTGCACACGTTAATGACATACATGGAGAAAAAATAAATGTCTCATATATGTTACTAAAAAATCACCAAATAGGTTTTTTAGATGCCCCATAAAGAGGTCCTTTACATGCCCCCATAAAGGGGTCCTTTACATGCCTTCAAAATTACATGAGTAATGAATATTCACATAACCCCCAAAGTTAACTACAAAAGGGGTATTTACATGTCTCCAAAATTCAAAAAATTAGTCAAGTCTTTTACATGCCCCATAAATAAATCTTTTACATGCCCACAAAATTCATTGAATATTCATAGAAACCCAAAGTCAACTAACATGTATCCAAAATTCAAAAATTAGTCAATAAAAAAAAGTCCTATAAAAACTCCTCGATGTGAACGCAATATCGTAATTTGTCATATCGTCCGTGTAATTGTAGCCCCTTCGTTTGTCATGGCCTCAACTCGGTTTGATGTTCTCAATAGCTCTACATCCCACGAGCCCTCATCGGAATGTTAGGCCTGTCATGTCCACTCTTATTACAAATTTTACACTTTCTTCCAGTGGGTGGCCTTTCCTCCAACTGTTTTTTTTGTGTAGAAGCTTTTGGCCCTTTCTTCCATGAAGGTTTTATCCTTTTAGTCCTTGGTCGTCCAACTACTCGTGCACATGGTGGATCGACTATAAGGGGGGGCATCAACTGATATAATACTGCCACATACTTTATCTTCAGCGGCACTGCAACGAGTGGAGGCTGATGGGGCATGAGTATTTGATAAAGACTCTCTTGTTGCATTGACCTCCTCAGCTAACTTGGAGAAACCCAACTTCACTTTTTCAAATACATCATCATTTTTTAGTACTAGCTATACAATTGTTCTCACAAGGTCATAAAGCTCATAACGTCGAATGAAACTCGAAAATTTAGATATAGTCGAACTACTAGCACCACATTTGTCTTTGACACCCTTCTTTGCATCTATTGTCCAATGGTTCAAAATGTAGTTAGATAGGATCTTCAATACATTCCTCATGTTGAAACTCTTTGAGTATATGTGAACAAGGGATCCCAACAGGCTCAAAGAACTGACATGGGCATGTACACTTCGTCCCTGATTCAATGAATGTAACCGTCCAAGGGATTGGTACACCGCCATTGTCTTCCACCTTATATTTGGCAAATTCATCATTGACTTTTATTAATTTGCTAAGGCAATTTGAGAACCTTACGGCCTCTTTTTGGAACTTTTTAAATACTTTTTGAATATATGTCTTTGCTGCATGCTCCTCGATAAGGAAGGTTGTATTTAGGATATGTGTGGATGTAAGATCTTTACTGTCTTTCTCTTTTTCTTTGATGAACTTCTTGTTTTGCAACTTTTCAATAGCATTCATGAATTTTTGCAAACTTGTACCAGAAGTGAAATATATCTTTAAATGATGATTAAACCCTTCACTTTGTTGTGTGGTTTTCATGCCGGCTGTGAACCTATCAGCTATGTATACATCAATCCATTGAGTGCGACAACCATATAACAACTTGAGCCAACTTTCCTCTTGAAGATCGTATTTCTGAATCATAGCCAACCAATCAACCTGAAATTGTTGAACTGTGTAGGCTGCAATACACTTCTTGAATACCTATAAGAATAATGGGTGCCCACGCTCAACATAGCTTAGATGTGTTTTAAACTTTTCCATAATGTGCCACTTGCAATAGTGATGATTAGTATTCGGGAAAATTGTCTTAACTGCAGCTGTAATCACTAAAGCTTGATTAGTGATAATTGTACCTGGTTGGTGCCTCCCATTGCCTCTAGCCAATTCTCAAATAACGAAATGAAGGTTTCTGTAGTCTCATTGAAGATGAGAGCACATCCGAGGAAAACTGTGTTAATGTGATGATTAACTCCAAGGATTGGACCAAAAGTCATACTGTATTCATTTGTTTGGTATGTGGTGTCAAAGGTTACCACGTCATTACAAAATTGGTATGACAATATACACTTTGAATCAACCCATAAAATACCAAACAACCTTCCCATCTCATCAAGTCAAACTCTATAAAAGAAGTTAGGGTCCAATTCATTCTTCGTATGCAACCAATTCATAATAACATTACCGTATTTCCCTTTCAATTGTTTTATTTTTTTCGTTATGTGATTCTCAAGGTCTTTCTCAATAAAGTCACATTTTCTGCCACACCGGCCTCTTCAATAAGGTAATCCATCATAACCCTAGACTTAGCCATTGAAGACTCCAATGTGTCAATCAACTTTTTCAAGGTGTTTGGTATCTTCGATGAGAGCGAATGAATCCAGTCTTGTTGGGTGTTGTGAGAATATGATTACGTTTTTTTACAACTTCGCAATAACCCATCTATTGTTCTCATTCTTCTTAATGCGGATCTTTGGTTGACATCCACATTTTGTGTGGGGGCAAGCAATTTCACTTCCATCATACATCTCATTACGATAACCTTGCCTACAACATTCTAAAATCAAACTAATTCTTCCACCTTGTTTCCATATTGTCCTTCCCTTTCTTATACCAAACCCTACCAATTTTGCGTACTTATTATAATAATCATAAGCTTCATCTTCATCAGTAAATGCCATTCCTATTGCCGGTTCGATACTTGCACCTCTTGCTAGGGCTGCCTCAACATCTATAAGTATAGGATCTCCTTCTCTATTTATTACAACTATATCCTCATCAGATGTAGAATCATGACAAGTTTCATCTACTATAGCATGAGCACCACACTCATGCCTATTTTTTGAATTAGTAATGTTGAGGGGAGAGGAAGGAGATGCTAATGTTGAGGCATCCATGACACAAGCAAAGTATACCCGTCCAACCTTCGCTGTTAGCGCGGGCATGGGGATCTAATCCTCCGATCGGGAGCTACTCTCTGCAATATCCCCAAGTACATCATCATTCACAGTGTCATCCTAGGGCTCCTGTAATGGGATTGAACAATACTTTGATAGGTAGCCGGATGCCTCAGTGGCCAAGTCCCAATTCTTGGATCTGATACGATCTCTTAAGAGTTCTGTGCTACGGTGGATGTCTTCCCACTACATTATAAAACCGAATGTTAATTGGCTAAAATAGCACAATAATGAATACTAAAGCAATTCAGCATTAATGTTGGGATGTGGTGTGGGTGGCCTACCACATTATCTTCACCTTGGTAACCTCGAGGATTGTATTTTGGAGTCCTTGGTTGGTCCTACCCAACCCTGCTAAGAGTATGAGTAGGAGTCCTGCCCAACCTTGCTGTAATAGAGCTCCTCTATAGTGGGAGGCTGCACTTCAAAAAGTGCAACATTCAAAAGAAAAGTCCATTTTACTTTTATACATAAAATGAGGCCGGAAAATCATGTTATTCTAAATCCAAGTTATTTTGCTTAAGAAATATTTTTTGAGAAAGTAATTTGCCTAACAATTGTAATTTATATTATTGAGAGATTGTGGGTTGGGCAACAGAGAAGAACTGCGTGTGTGGCATAGAGAGAGAGGGCAAGGAACAATTCACTTGGTTTGTTGAAGAACTGCGTACATGGCTTTGGCAGCAAGAAGCAAGAACTCACCAGATTCATGCACTTCAGAGCAAAAAGAACAAGAACTTTTAGTAATCAACCATGTAATCATAATTATTTAACATGTTTCGTTATATAAAATTTCTCCAAGAAAGAAAACAGGGCCACTCACAAGAAAACAAAGAGAACAGGGAGAACAAAGTCCTTTGCTCATATTTTCACCAATCCCTTAGTGGGGGTTTTATTGGATACAAATAACCAATTTTATACACATATATAGCCAAGGCACCTTCAAATTTATTTTAACTAAGAGGCTTTCAATAATTACTGATAAATAAAAAAATAAAAAAATAATATTAAACCAAATGACCTTCGATGCTTTATATTCGATCTGGAAATGTGCTAATTGCAACCAACACTTTGGAATGGGCAAAACAATTTACAACTCTAAATATAATATTCTGAAAACACCCAAGAACCCATCCCCGCATTTTGATGAAATAATGGCCAAATAACTTTTATCAGTCTCACTAGCCAATTGGACATGAACCCACTTCCCCAAAAGATAACAAATAAAATACATGGAGGCGACTGAAGAAATTAAATGAATATGACAAAAAATTTCGTTTCTCAAATTCAAATTCCCAACAAAAAATTCACAAACAGGGAATATTGAACTGAAATTTATAAATGGCATTGTAAAATAGAGAATAAAAGAATCACATACAACCAAATAATTATATTAAAATTTCAATTGAAAGTCAGGCATTATAGGGCATTTAGCTGTATTCATTGCAACTTGTTCAAGTTATAGATCCAAATAATAAAAATTGTGTACTGAAACCCATTTATAACTATCTAATTCAATTTTCTTTCAAAATCAATGATAAAAGAAAGTAATAAATCCAATTTAACCATTGTTTTCTTTGTTTTTGTGATTTAATTTAGAAGAAAATTGGGTAAAAAGGCCTAGAAAGCACACATAACTTGATTGAGTTAGCACAGGAGAGGGAAAAGGTATGATCCGTTTAACCACTGAAATGAAACATTAAAAAGTCAGGTTTTGGGGAAAAAAAACACAGGGTGTTAGGACAAAAAAGTATGGTTTTGGGTAGGTTTTCGGAAAAAATTGGGTTTTCAACAAGAGTAATGGAGATATTTCACCCACTGTAAAAATTAGGGTTAGATTGTGGCTTGGGTTCGAGCAAAAAAATCAAGACAATCACGCACCTGATTGATGCCCTAAACAGATGAGCAATGTCTGGCGTCTGTGGCAGAATCGAAGCTTCTACGAGAGAGGAGAGGACGACGGAGATGACTGCGTTTGGGCTTCATAGAGAGGGGAGGGGACGTAAGAGAAAGAATGATTCTTCACTTCACATAGCAGAGGAGAGAAGAGGACAAGCCAAGAGGGGAGCCTCGTAGAGAGAGGGAAGCCTCACAGAGAGAGGGAGGCCGTATAGGAGAGGAAGCCGGAAAGAAGGATAAAAGGAAATTTTTTGAGGTTTGAAGCTTTTTGAGCCAATCAGGGAGTTTCACGCGCAAAGTGTTTCAGCTAATTAGGACCCTTACTTTCAATTTGTTTGAACAGACGGTCGAAAGGGTGGGGGCGAAAGCACTGTATATTCTCTTCTAGAGGCGTTGCGAGGACTTTTCCATATATATATATATATATATGAGCCCACTAGCTCACAAGAAAAAATAAGCCCAACGGCTCAGATTGAATCTGGGCCGATCTGACGAACACAGATGTCTGATAGTGTTTGAAGTTAATTTGTTTTTTATACAAATCCAAATCACTTAAAATTTTAGATGCGTATTCTTCTCATCAATTCACACCTAATAAAAATATAAAAAAATAATTCGAAGAAACTATTTGACCAAAATACCCCCAAAACTTTTTGGGGGTA